AAGAAGTAACTAATAATTATTAAAGTAGAGAATGAGATGGAAACGAAATAATTTTATTAGAGGGAGTAAAGGAAGTGATTGCTCAATACTAGAACACCCTCTCTCTCTCTCTCTCTCTCTCTACCCCCCCCCCCCCCCTAAAAAGTTCATATAAAAATAATCATGTAAACTAGAGACAAGGATGTAAGAACCCCTCGTATCCACTACATAAATACTTGGATAAAGTATAACAAAGGTAAAGATTTATTTGCCCCCAATAGTCCCATTTAATCTGGGGTGAAATCTATTCAGGTTGTTCCATCTAGAGAGATTTTGTGAAGATATTGTTTAGATAAGAAGTGCAAGCAACATAGTAAGGCATTATCTCCTTAACAAACACTTTTCCAAGTGATTGCCAACATCAATGTGCTTCATGCTGCATCAAAAATAAGATTAACAGCCATATGTTCAACTCTATGTTGTTACAATATAGAATAAATGGTGTACTATTAATAAAATTTCAAAACCGATAGGGCAGCCACATAAGCCCAACAATGATTCCCGTGGGCAGCCAAGTAAGCCCAACAATGATTGCAGTGAACATGAACTACAAAGTTTGTTGCTACATAAAATCAAATTAGACATGGAATGTGTTAGTGGGAGGCAATAAACAGGAACCCAACCAATCAGCACCAATACTTTAAATAGAAAAAAGAATATTGTAGCACTTCAACTTAGTCAAAGAGGACACTTAATTAGAAATGTGCCCTTGGCCTGGGTGGTCAGGGTGGTAGAACCCAAACATGATGTCCAAGGCTTCTATTCCATTTACAAGATTTATTCGGCAGCTTAAACCTAAGCAAATCTTACAGGTCATTGAAAGCCCCATCTACTAAAACAAACACGATTAGAAACCAGTAATGTCCCAAGTCACATTTTACTGGGCCACTTTGGTAGAATGCTTAAGGGAGAATATAGTTGTTGGGATCGGGAGCAGGAACAGTACTGGGATTGACTAGTATATAACACTAGATCAGTATTCATGATAGGGATGTGGCAAAAATTTTCCACTGGCTAGCAATCTAATACAACCCTCCACCTTTCTCATCCAACCTTGAAACCGGCAATGGTGGGAACGGTCAAATGACATATCAAAAGTTCAAACTACAGGTCAAAACATACATACCAATAAATAAAAGTTGATGGGTCGCACGGAAAACATTTGCCGGATATCTACTTAAACAGATCAAAGAAAATTGGTAAAAAGCTTTCACGTGTAAATGTGAAAAGAGAGTGAGGGGTAACAAAGGGAGAGAAAGGGAGATGTGTGAGAGAGAAAAAGAGAGAGGTAGCGGGGAGGGAAGAATGAATGCATAGACGTAGCATGGGGAAGGAGAGATGGGGGGTGGGAAAGATAACGAGGCAGGTGCGAGAGAGGGAGGAGATAGAGAGAGAGATGGTGGCAGAGACAGAGACGTAGCACACCAGGTAAGGGAAAGTGTTTGGAATGGTTGGTTCATGAGAAGAGCGCCCAATAAATGATGGGGGGAAGATTGCAAAAATCATTAAAAGAGCCTTTAATGGAGATCTTAATTGGGGGCCCTAAATAGTCATTCATTTCAAGTTGAAATTTGCAAATCAAACACATAATAGGTTAAATTGTAATTGACAAATTTTAAATTTGTATTTATGCTCAATTTTGCATGAATTAAGTGGATTTCCACAGAAACACACCTTAAGGTTAATTCAAAAAATCAGTTTTGTATTGGCCATTTTGCACCAATACAAATGCTTCGCAGATCGAAAGTTTATGAGGAAGCATTCACCAGATGACTTGCAAATGTTGTTAAAGGATTTAGCCTTTAAGTAATCCCAGACCTATTCACTGAATTAGAAGCAACAATAGAGCTACAGTCAATAAGTTTTTCACAATTTTTTTTATCTTTTTGCAAGGGGATAAAATATTTATAGCACGAAAACAGCATGTTCATACATTAAAAGAACCTAAAAAATCTTAGAAAGTAGTAAAAGTATAAGTATGCATGTGCGTGTGTATGAAAAGATATTATCAACCAATTACTTGATGGAATAGTATTGGCCCAACGGCCCATATTCAACCTTACAAATCCTATGAACGTCCATGGACACTATTTGAATTTCAAACATTTTTAATTTTTTTATATTCGTTGACACTAAAATTTTGGGAGCACATGTGTATCACCAGGGGCAGAAAACAAAACACAATATGCAAAATTTTAAATGACGTAAATTTTGTTCATTGTGATTAGAAATATTGAAATGTTACATATGTGTAAGCCCGCACAAGAAAGGAGGGCTGTTTTAGATAGGCAGCTTGAAGAAACTTTTGCTGCAACCTACAGAAAATTTTTGTCACATCCTTACATTGAATCCCAATACAATGTTATATGCTCATGCTAGGCGCTCCTTGGTGGAAAAGGATTTGTGTAGCAGACTACAAATAGATAGAATAAGGCTCAGTTGATGATGATGATGATGATGTTGTGTTTCCCCTTTAATACTATAAACAAATGTGATTCAGATCAAAGTAAATAGTTGAGAATGTCAACTAGGACAAAGATTTCAAATTGAAACCTGGACAAAAATTCATTTTAAGGTGCTAGCTAACTCTGAATGGAGAAATCAAAGCATTAAATGAGGAATGTTTTTGAAATTTGCGATAGAATATTTATTATCAAGGATTTAAAAAACAAATGAGTGACCCAATTAGTCAATTCAAAAAACCAGGTCAAGTTGGTGGATCGACGGTTCGGATTGCAGAATCGGCAAGATTTGACCTTAAAAAAATTTCAAAATCACTTAAATTTCTTAAAAATCTAGTTGTTTTAGGTTGCCAAAAAAAAGTCATATTGCATTGTAGTTTTTCTTATTTTATTAATACATAAATACTGAGAAACTCTCTCATGCCCGAGTGTTTGTTATTTATTACATGCAGTTTATAGTCAAAAAAAAATTTAAAAATATAACTCATTGCAATAAAATGGTCTCTCCAACACAAATTTTTATAGCGAAGAAAAGGAAGCGTACAATAACCTTGAACCTTTTGATTTAATAGAGAGAAAAAAAGCAATGGCAAAAAGTATTTGCCAAATAAAAAGATTTAAGGCATAATAATGAGCATGAAAAATATGTAGAATTTGGAAACATGAATTTCGAATCACATTTTAATGAAATTAAAAAACAAGATAAGTAGATTCATGCTCGCAATAAGGAATAATGGATAGAGCAACTTGAAAATATATATTTTGAAGCACCCATTTTGGATATTTTAAAATGGTCACTTATTTTCATGCTAATTGAACTTTAGCATGAACATTTTAAGGAAATTAGAAATTCTAATACAATAAATAGATTAAAAAATGATTTGAAAATAAATTAATTTTACCATGAAAATTAATTTATTTTCACGCTAATTGAACTTAAGTGAACATTTATTTATCTATTAAGAGTGAAGTGTGTGAACTAGCATTGGAGATTGACTTTACCAATGTTACATTTATCTATTTTGAGCCTACCTTTTGCCGTTTTTGAACCTTCTACTTGAACTAACTTGCACCTCCTAACAGGTGTTGCGCTAGGTCTACGCCACATATAGCCAGCCCACTTAAGTCTATTCTCTCTCATCTTATCGCCTATTGACGCCACACCTAAATGTTCCTGAATGTATTTTTTGAGATCAATTCATCAAATCAACATAATAATCATCACCTTCAATCATCTTCAGACAGAATCTTCATAATCCCTAACACTTCCATCTAAATCGAGGCCATCATCATGAGAATCATCACCCTCTTCACAATTTTGCTTATCTTCCTTAGTATCTTTTGAATCTACCTCCTCCTGCACTATTTCCCACATCCTCTGTAAAGTATCAGCAGTAGTTGTTGCTCGAGTGGCCCTCCTACGATTAGAGCTAGACCTGAGGCCTCCTCAACCATATACCAAGATAAAATCTCCCCAGAAAGACCTCTCCAGATCAAAGTAAATAGTTGAGAATCTCCGATGGACAAAAATTTCATTTTAAGTTGCTAGCGAACTCTGAATGGACAAATCCAAGGATTAAATGAGGAATGCTTTCGAAATTTGCAAAAGAATATTTATTAACAAGGCTTTAAAAAACGAATCAGTGACACAAATAGTCAATTCGAAAAACCAAGTTAGGTCGGTGGATCGACGATTTGGATCGCAGCAAAAAATTTTAAGTTTTTTTTTACACGAGGTTGTCGGTTCATTCCGCTCCACATAAGGGAATCGCTGATTCCACTATAGTGAATTGGCAATTCGCTACAGGCAATCACGAGAGGGAAACAACCAGTTCCCGATATATTGTGGGAATAGGTTTGCCAATGACAATTCCCAATCTGGATCGGCGATGTTTTAAACATTGCTTATTATGTAGTAGTTGCTAGAAAGCAATAGATTTTGTTAATAATATATCTATTCAATGTATGCAATTCCCTCCTTTAAAATTTTGCCTTTGGTATCGCATGTTTTTGAATTAATAAGGATCACATTCATAGTTGTATATCAGTCTAGGTGCATTACCTTAATTACTTTACAGGCTATAAAAAAGTAATATACTACAAACTCAGTAATGCAAATAGATCGTTACTTTAGCTAATTGGTAGGACAAATGCCTAGTTAAATAAATCCAAGGTTCAGATCTCTAACACCAAAGATAACTAAGATGCACCTAG